TTTCCCTACCGCACCAACTTCCTCTCTCCAAGTGTAGGAGTCCCCATTCTCCCACCCCCACCCCCTCTTTCTGTCCCTCTCAGTCTCTCTCCAGCTTTAGCCTGAAAACTCCATACACCTCACTGCACAAAGCCTCAGGGCTCAAGCTTCCAGCTGCTCAGTTCGCTGCACGCTTGGCCACCGGGTAGCCCGGGGAAGCACACCCGCATCCCCTCAAGCCCTAATCCTTCGCTCCCCATTGGGCCCCCAGGCCCCCGCCCTCCTCCCATCCTCCTCTTTCTCTCGGCTGCCTGGGAGTGGCGTCAGCACGCCCGCCGGGCGTGGGGTTTAAATGCCCACTAGCGGGAGCCGGGACGCTTCTGTCCCGGAGCGCGGTCTGGGCTGGAATTGCAGGGCCGGGAGGGGAGCGTGCGAGCGGGATCCAGAGCCGCGGAGCGCGCTACCCCTCGCTCCGCCGTGGATGACTCCGGAGCACGGGTCCAAGTACCGCCCATGCAGCATCCCTGCGCTCAACAGTCCGGGAGTTAATGATAAAACCCTTAACTGTCTCCGCTGCGGGGAGCCATGAGCTGTCTGGATGTTATGTACCAAGTCTATGGTCCTCCGCAGCCTTACTTCGCAGCCGCTTACACCCCCTACCACCAGGTACGTGTCTCTTCCGGGCCAGAACCTCGGAGACGGGTGGCGCGCCCCGGTTCTCGGAGCAAAGTCTGTAGCCCGAGGTCCACCGCGCCTCCGCGCGGGTCCCGGGCGTCCGACCCGCGGCGGGAGCCTCCGGGATGCCGGGATTGCCCGCGCTGCTACCGGGTAGATTGAGCTAACCCCTTTAGCTTGCCCGTTTGCTCTCTTGGGAAGGCAGCTAAACCCTGCTAATACGTGTCCCGGTTTTGCTGGGAATAATCAGACGAGGATCGCGCCTGCTGGATTGTCTTAGTTTCTGTCCGCCTCCAGATTTATCCGAGCCTGAGCCCAGTGCGGGTACGGGGAGATGGGAGCAAAGGATCACGCATATAAAACCAAACCTTGGTCCCAACAAATCAAAGGCCTGTCTCTATCTTCTTGTTTTGTGATCCAAAGACCCGCGTTCTCATCCGTACAACCTTATATAAGGCATATATTTTATTTTTTCCATTTCAATTCTCAGGAGCTCAGGCCAGTTAATTCCAGAATCAAGGAATTCATTACAAAGAGAACCGCACGAAACGCATCCGTTTTTATAATCTTTGTTCTGCAAAGTTTTGAGGAGTATTATTGGGGAACGATTGACTGGACAGGGGTCAGCTTCATAGACAATAATACTTCAACTTTCAAGAGCTTGAGGAGCTGAATAGGGCTGCCCTGCAGTCAACAAACCCACTTTTAAGAAGGCCGCTTAACCCCGGTTCTGCAAACTTAAGTTTTGTTTAAATATTTTTATTTCTCCTTTCTCTGGGCTGCGTCCGTTGAACAGTTCTTTACATTTCCTCAGTTGATGTAGTGGAAACTGAGGACACTAGTCCTGGAAAAGAACAAGACCACATCGGGGAGGGGGTGCGGGTAGGAGGCCGGACCTGGTTAGAAAGTGGGAGCCTGGAGTCCTGCTTCGAGAAAATTGAAATACACTGCTACCCGCCGTTCATGTTTTCATCTGTTTTGCTTGCAAATTCAAAATATCTATTCAGCTTTTGCTTCCCACCCCCCTCCTCTTTTTTAAACTTCCCAATCAGGAGTTTATTTAGTCTTAATATTAATTTTAGGAATCACCAGAGTACCTCATTGTAAGCCAAGTGGGAATGTGTTAGAAGTGGTGATATTGCTAAGTAACTCTTTTGGCTTCAGTGTCTAAGATGAGCTCCTTCTCACGCTGGGACTATTGCAAAGAGAGGTGGATTGTTTTTCTGTCTGTTTGGTCCTTTCTCCTCCCTGACCCTAGACCAATCTATTGCATTTCCGTATGGTCAGTCCCCCTTGGAAGCCATCTCTGCCTGCATAATGCTTTAACACTGCATTCAGTCCATTGCTCATTTCTAAGAAAATGTTTTAAGTAGCTACACTTGGATTTTTAAAATCACTATTGGACAGTCACAATTTACCCAGCCTCACAGCCAACATCCTCTGCAGCTCCTTTTTATTACTTGTTTCCTCAACGTGCACAGAGATGGTGAGAGTGGAAATTCTCATAACCCATTGGTTTTTCTTCAATCTAAAGATCTCTTTAAAAAAGGAGAAAGACTTTTAAATAGTGTATGTGTGACTAAACAAATATCAACTTAGGTTTACTAAAATGATCCATGTCACGATGTTATTCCACCTTTTACTCCACACGATTCTGTCATAAGTGGAACTCTTTCAAAACTCTGCGGCATTTCTTTCTTTCCAACTTGCTTGTGTGGAGTGGATTTTTATATTTTCATGTTCTATCGTGAGGATGCTTATCCTGCATCTTGTGCATCTGTCTTGAATTCTCAAGCAGGGAACAATCAGGCCCTAACTGGACTTGGGTGCCCTTTACCCTTGGAGCCTGATTTAAAAATATATTTACCCTGAGTCTGACCCTGCGAGTTAAACTCCACTCATAACCTGGCTGCTTAGGCATCTTCTGGGACCTTCATCCTGATACATTCAAAGACCTTTCCCTATGGCCTGGCAGCATTTCTGGTGTGACAGAGGCACCAAGAAGGTCAACATGCCTCTCAATAAGCCCACTTTTGTAGGGATGCAGGTTGGGAGGCCTGCTGACTATGTAGGCTACCTTATTGAGCATGGGCTTAAGCACCCATGCCAATCGCCCCTTGGATACTTTAGGGATCAGATGAGGGAGTTCAGTCTAAACTCAATTTGCCATCTCTTCTGAAATTGACCTCTCTATTCTTCTCTCTTTGAGCAGAAATTAGCCTATTACTCCAAAATGCAGGAAGCCCAAGAGTGTAACGCCAGCCCCAGCAACAGCAGCGGCAGCTCCTCCTTTTCCAGCCAAACTCCGGCCAGTATAAAAGAAGAAGAAGGCAGTCCGGAGAAAGAGCGCCCACCAGAGGCGGAGTATATCAACTCCCGCTGCGTCCTCTTCACCTATTTCCAGGGAGACATCAGCTCCGTGGTGGACGAGCACTTCAGCAGGGCCCTGAGCCAGCCTAGCAGCTATTCCCCAAGCTGTACAAGCAACAAAGCACCGAGGAGCTCGGGGCCCTGGCGTGGTGAGTATGGGGCTTCACTGGCAAAGGGGATAGAAGGCCCTCTCAACCTGGTATCCACCTAGAGAAGCTCAGTGAGATGCAGTGGAAGGAATACTAGGTCTCAGAGAAGAGGCGAGGAGGGGAATTTAAGGGAGATAAGAAAGTAGAAAGAGGATGGCCACAGGTATAAGATCTCTCCTCCAAAAGGCAGAAGAGCAGAGCAGAGCAATGACCTAGAAAAAAAACACTATCCTTGGAATTTGGAGGCTTGGGTTTGCATGTTAACTCCTCTATGTCCTAGCAATATGACGTTGGGCAAATCTTTTAACCTCTTTGAGGTCATTCTATTTACTGGTCTCAAATTACAATGATACTTGCCCTCTTAACTATCCCTGGAGATGGCAATAAGATAAACAGAAAAATCTATGGAAATGTGAGGTTTCCAACACTCCTCCAAGCCAAAAGGGAGGAGGATCTTCACATACTACAACTTACAGGGCTCTTACCCCGTTTCTTAAAATTTACCCAGAAAGAAAAGTCACAGGTCCCACTGCAAGCAAAATCTCCTGAAGAATGTTTCCTGGAACCTACCTGTGCCATTCGTCAGGTTTCAGTTACTTGGGAAATCTTGAAGCAGAAAACATCTTTCAATAAGCAAACAAAGTAACAAAGAAATAAGAATGTAGGTAGAGCCAAAACATTTCTAAAGGTTTTCCCCAAAACACATCCCTCTTTCTTGTTCTGCTCTTCCCACAAAGCCCACTTTACCCAGCCTGGGACAATGATTTCTTGGACAAGTCAATTAAATCTCCCTCCTATTCTGAAATCTCAACCTCCCTTTATTACCAAGACAAGGGGAGAGTTAATTATTTGGTAAACTTCTCACTAAGCTTTGTTTTTGATGTGTGCCAAGCTGGGAAATGAGGACTTTATTGTAAAAAGGAAGACATATTACGTTTTTGAGGAAATGACAACCATCACTCTCCCTTTTTTTTCTTGAGTCTGACAGTTTGTACAAGCCTTGCCTAGACAAGCTCCAAAAACATTAGTTTTAAATACAGAACATTCTTTTTATTCTCCAGTCGACTAAATATTTTTAATAGGAAGACTGTTCATCACTTAAAATGCACTTTAAAAGTATTCTTTAGTCCGTGTGCCTATGCCTTCTGCAGAGATGCTCAATGAAGATCACTTGAATTAAATGTTCTTTTATCCCTCCCTCCTCACTAAAGGAAACAAATTTGATCTAAATGTTGTCCTCTTAAAATGCTTCTAAGAACTAGGGGTCAACAGCGATATTGACAGTAGCAGTAGCAGCAGCAGTAGTAGGAGTAACAGTGATAATAATAAAATTATTATAAGTGTGGCATCCCCACTTTGGTGCAGAAAGTTTGTTAATTAAAACTTAAAAGACCTTTCCCTTCCTGACCCTCTGTGCAAGCAATACAGCTGCCCTTTTAGTATGTCTGGTTTACTCTTTCGATTTAGTTCTTGGAAAAGAATATATATATTTGAAAGAAGTTTTCTAGAAAGGAGGCTAATAATAGCAATACTTCGAAATATGTCGATGGACTTCCAGTCTATCAGAGGCACATTTTCTAGAGCAAGGGAGGCTGAAACGCGAGAGGAGATGGTAGTGTGATCGCTAGGCGGCCAACTAGGAGTGGGAAGAGGTATCTTTAGGTTGACGAGAGGCTGCGGGTTGGAAAAGGGAGACCGTGTCTGCTCCAAGGCTGTGGAGGCAGCGTGGAGTGGGTGAAGCTCCCCGCGCCCCAAAACCAGACACTTCTGCAAAATTCGAGGAAGCAGAGACCTCCTCTCAAAAAGATTCCCCCATTTTTTCGTGCCCCGACTTCAAATTCACAAGCTGCAGCCCCCTTAGAAAGACTCCGCCCCAAAGCTTAGGCTGCGGCTGCTTTTCCGTCCCTGGCCGGCCCTGCGTGTTCAGCTCTCCAGCGGCCTTGCGCGGTTCGCACTCGAGTCTCCTGGCGGTGACATGCTCCTTTCAACCTTTGCTCCCCTCCGGCTCGCCGGCCCGCAGACGGCTCCTTCCCGATGAGCCAGCGCAGCTTCCCCGCCTCCTTCTGGAATAGCGCGTACCAGGCGCCGGTGCCCGCGCCGCTGGGCAGCCAGCTGGCCGCCGCGCACTCGGAGATGCCCTTCGCCACCGCCGACCCCTACTCGCCGGCGGCGCTGCACAGCCACCTGCACCAGGGTGCGGCGGAGCCCTGGCACCACGCGCACCCGCATCACGCGCACCCGCACCCGCACCCTCACCCTCACCCTCACCACCCCTACGCCCTGGGCAGCGCCCTGGGTGCCCAGGCCGCCGCCTACCCGCGGCCGGCAGCGGTGCACGAGGTCTATGCGCCGCACTTTGATCCGCGCTACGGACCGCTGCTGATGCCCGCTGCCTCAGGGCGCGCAGCTCGCCTCGCGCCCGCCCCGGCACCCGCGCCCGGCAGCCCGCCCTGCGAGCTCTCCGCCAAGGGCGAACCTTCCGGCGCCGCTTGGGCCGCACCTGGAGGACCCTTCGCGAGCCCCACGGGGGACGTGGCCCAAGGTCTGGGCCTCAGCGTGGACTCAGGTAAGTCGGAGAGGGAGCTTGACAGACATAGGCCCCTCTTGTCCTATGCCTCACCCTGGACTGAACTCTGGACCCCCTTAGTTCTCTTTGGATACCCCAGTGACACTGTAGTGCGAACGTCTGCATGGCGGGGTTGCGTTTCAGTAGACAGATGACTCTGTGCCATCTGTGGGGGCAAGATAAGAATGTAGGACCCTGCCGTACCCTGATCGGTAAATATTAGAGGACTTTAAAATTTAATAAAATTTTATTAAATTTGTTGGAAAGATTCTAGCTCTGCGCTGTTCAGTTCTGTAGCCACTAGCCACGTGTATCTGCGGAGCACTTGAAATGTGGCTAGGCCCTACTGGATGTCTCTATAAGTGTATAATACATTCTGGATTTAAAAACTTTGTCCAAAAAAATGGTAAAATTCATCTCCCTAATATTTTTATTGATTGCATGTTGAATTATTTTAAACACTGCATATTGGATGTATTGGGTTAAATAAAATATGTCACTAAGATTAATTTTCACCTGTTTCTTGTTACTTTCCTTCAATGTGGCTGCTAGAAAAATGTGGCTCCCATTGTGTTTTTATTGGACAGCGCTGATCTAGAGTAACTGCTAAGAGTAGTTTAAAATTCTCTACATCTTGGGGAAGGTGAGTCTTATGACCTAGTGACAATTATAAGGAAAGAAAAATACGACTCTGATATCAACTTAATTGCCAAATTAGATAAATCTCTTAAAAACGTAAAACTTAACAAGAATACGGTTTAAAAGATAATATTAAGTTTCTGACTTAAAGAGTTGAATTTGAAAGGTACATTCAAATAAGGGTTTACTTTTTGCTTGCTTTAGTTTTAGGACAAATGAAAAAAATAGTTATAAATGCAATCTTTGGCATGTAGTCTTGCCCACTGCTCCTTCCGTCAGGTGAAGGTTTGACATTTCTGTTGACTTTGCTTTTACTTTCATTCACGCTCTTTAGATGAATTCTGTGACTTTCACAGTAAGACAGTGGTGTTTGTCTTTCTCTTTCCTTAAATATCTTGTGCCTTCCCTCTCCCACCCCTTTCTCTCCTCTCTCTCCTTCTCTTCTCCCTCTCTTTCTTTTATTTTCTCTCTGCTTTCAGGTTTGCAGCCTCAGGACAAAAGCAAGGATCTGTACTGGTTTTAGACAACCCACCTTCTCCCCTGTAGGTCTCTGCCTAGCGCACTTGGTGACACTCAGAGCTGAATCGAGTGGGTTTGTAACAGCTTCTGATCTTGGTTTGCAGCTCGTCGTTATTCCCTCTGTGGTGCATCCCTCCTGAGCTGATCTGCTGACCCAGGGTTCCCCTTACCTTTCCCTTCCGACCAGCCAGGAGGCTCGGCATCTGTGCCTCTCACTTCAAGGATGAGGACACGGGGGAAGGCAGAGACTTCAAACTTCTCCGTGTGTCAGGAAAACCAAAACACATATCTCAGAAATTTCGTCTAAAAATAATTCTTTCTGCCAAAACAGCAGATCCGAAGACTCTGGTTACATTTAACAGCTTTTGGACAAATCGCTGGAAGTATCTGTGGTGAGATCACTTAGGTGATATAAGATATTTTTGGAAGGAGGGAAAGAAAAAGAGACTTTTGGGTGTGAATATTTTTTATGCTGATGTGAATTATTTCATTAAGTAGTGTGATCATAGCACTACTGATGTCAGTATCTTCAGATTTAAAATGTTATTTGTATTTGCATTGAAGACTGTGGTAGAGAAGTAAAAAAGAAGCCAATTCCTTCTTCCTCACCTCTGTAGCCTCCAGCTCCCTTCCTACCCACTCCCTCCCTACCACCGCCCCCTGCCCCCCAGCCCCCCAGACAGACACAAAGACACACTTTTTCCTTTGGATTATGAACATGGAAGCCTCAGCCTGAATGTGAGTGGCAAGTGGCTTATCTGGAGCCACCTGCCCAAGTCTTATTGAAATGCAGCTGTTGTGGGACAACTGTTGAAAACTCCAGAAATACATCGACCAAGGTGGCACTTCCCAGTGTTTGGCACAACAATTGCAATTGCACTGGATATATTTTATATGTGTGTGTATATATATATCATATTTTTTACAAGGAACATTTTACGATGAAAGAAGAAACCCTTCTCTGCCTTCTCTCCCACAAATTCTGCCCCTTGTTCTAATCTCCTCTGGATAAAAAAAAAAAAAAAAACGCAACAAGAGACCCCAACTGTCTTCATGAAGATCTAGGAATCAGCACAAGGAGAAGGAATGTTCCATGGAGTCTCCGATACCTCGAATATTTTTCTTAGTCTCTATGGTCATGATTTGGTCACTTTAGTAGTGGGACAGGGAAAGGGGTCTCTGTGTGGGCAAAGCTAAAGGATATGAGGAAGAAGAAACAAACATTAAAGATAATCTGTTTACTACAAGGTCGCTGTGTTGTTTCATAAAAAGAAAATAAATGTCTTAGTTTTTCTCTAGAATAAAATAATTTATAGAAGATCTGATGTCAGAAAGTAATACTACTTGATATTTTGTGTGTGCATATGTGTGTGTGTATTATTTTCAGGAAAAGAATTATTCTTAAATTCTAGACTCTTATGACAGTAGAGTTGTCAAGATAAAAAGTGTCTTTGAAATATTGGCTATCTTTATATTTTAATAAGCTAGGCTAAGAATCCAAACCTACCACTAAAGGAAAAAAAAAGATTACTAAGAAATTAATGATTTTCTCTTTATTTCCTCATGACACCAAAGTTACTCATGTATCTCATTGAGGGAGATATTTTGTGTTATGCCCAAATTGCCCTTTAGATTGTTAAAGCATAAAAATATTAGTTCAAATCTTGACCTTCATTTGAACATGAGAGGCAAATATAATTTATCTTGAATAATAGTCTCAAGAGTTGGGGGAAGTTAAGGGACCTTACTCAGCATGGCTTAGCAAAGTTACTCATCATGTCTTCTTCCTATCATGTTGGTAGCTGTGATGTAGATTACGATCATTACAAGGGCCTATTATTGTTTTTGCTCAGATGGAAGGTACTATATTATTATACTGCACTAGATGTGATAATAGTAGTAACAACTAATGTTAATTACTTATACACCAGACACTAGTCTGAGGGCTTTCTATATAGGTCAACTCATTGAACCCTCATAAAAAATTTTTTATATTTATTATTATGATCCCCTTCTTATTGACAAAAATCTGTGGCTTGCAGAGGAGAAATAATTTTCCCAGTCATGTAGTTAGTAAAGTGGTAGAGCCAAGATGTCAACCCAGACAGTCTGGGTACAGAGACTACACTGTTATCCACTGCAATAACTGCCTGTCCACTTCTGACTTGTCTTTGGCTTCTCAACTTTGGACTTAATTTCTCCTCCCCAATCGATGGATAAGGAGGGGGAGAGGCAGGGCAGCAAAGACTGACACACTGTAGAACTTATAGAATCCCAGGTCTCAAAGGAACGCTCATAGGACATTGTCCAGACTCCTTTGTTAGATTTCACTACCTGTAGACCAGTCACTCAGTTGAAGATTTCCATTCTTCTCCAAGAGGGAATTATTATTGCTTCTCTTATTAATTCATTTTAGTATTTAATTAGCCTTCACTGCTCTGAAGCTCTTCACAGCCAACCAAACCAAGTTGTATAAGAGTTAGCCTGAGGTTTGGACTTTGAAGCAATAACTAAAATTAACTTTGGACTTCTCTGTGGATTTTTTTAATCCATGTTCCATTGGCATGGATTACTGCAGCATACAAGCATAAATAAAATGCATTAAGTTCCAGCTTTTTAGAAGTTGCCACTGATTATGCAGTGAAAACAGAAAGCACAGCAGTGCATCCTTTACTAGACATCTCCAAGTAGTCCCCAGCCAAAAAAAAAAAAAAAAAAAAGACTCTTTATCTATGTCCTACCTGCACCTGTAGTAGCACTTTTGAGTTTTCTGATTGGAGCCTACAGGGAGCATTTTCCCAGCCATGAGGTTCTGATTACTGAAACCACTCTCCTGAACTGCACCTAACCTGAATATCAGGTTGCTGATGAGGAGACTCATTCACTGGAACTGGCCTTTGGGGCAGTCCTGAACAGACCATCCAGACTGCTGAGTAGGGGTCCAGTGACATGGCCCATAGGACACATGAAGCAGAGCATTTCCATACACGTTACATGTTCCTAAAGTAGAAATGCAAGATGACTTAGAACTGTAATGATTCAGTCCTGTGTAATAGCATCAAAGAGAACGTTGGTGAACCAATAGCCCTAGCTGACATTCTTTAGGGCCACCAAGTCAGGCAAAATACGAAGTCCCATGCCTGTCTTGCTCATATTCATGAAACTATGCAGAATAGAGAAGATTCCAGTAGTTGAAAAAAAGAGGACAGGTAAGGAAATGAGACTAGAGGAAAGGATGACAAGAAAAGGCAAACATGACGTTTTTACATACATTACACCTGGTTGGGGGCCTGTGAGAAAGATTACAATCTCCTCTAAACATCCCGATTGGCACTGGTATCCTCATCCACAGTTTTTCCTTTGTACTTGGCCTCAGCTGGGGGAGAGGTGATGAAAAGGGGAGAGACAGCTCTCTGCCACCAAGTAATCCTTTTGCCGATTGCCCTCTGGCTGAGAACTCAGTCACCCAACTACAGGGAACTCTATCTGTTCTACTCCTTTAGTTTAAAGGAGTTGCCATCCTGTTTCATTTCCCCTTTGAAGTTCTATTTCAATGGGTGGCAAATTCTAGCAATGACTTAAGATTGACTTGGGCCTGGATAGGAGGGAGGGTGGGGGTGGTGGGTTTTGAGGCTCAGACTCCCTGGCTGGAAGCTTCTCTTGCCACTCTTTCTGGTTAAGTACTGAATTTTTCTCTGCCCTTTTACATCAGAGAGAAACAACTGTTAATGTAACCTTAACCTCCAGTCTGCTTGAAATCACAAACCCTGCCTCGATATGCAGGCACCCATACATCTATCAAAATAAACAAGAAGCTCTTTTTTGTAAGCACTTTGCTTTTGTTACTTTAGAGTTCAAGGAGATAAAAAATAAAACGTACACAAGCTGCTTTCCATATAAATGCCATTCCCATAAATTGCATTTTAAAATGTAATTCATTAGGTGTCAAAGCATGGAAGAAAAATTGGAGGATATCTGAAAATACTTAAAATAAATGAAACAAAAACATGAGATTCCTTTTATAAAGCTGCTTTAACATTAAGTCTGTTGATAATTTGCATGCAAATAATTCACATTTTGATTGAACTCGTCAAAGTCTTTGCTCTATAGATTCCATTCTTCCTTGCAAGATTTTTAGGATTTATTATTCATTACCTATTACATATTCCTAAAATCTGGAGAAAAGAAATAACATAAAAGCAGCATAGTTAATGCAGCTGCTGTTTGTACATAACTGAAATTTTGATATTTACATAAACAACAGGGTTAAGTAAAAATAAATTTCACATTTTCTCAACACCAGCTCTCCTTCATCTCCCATGAATAAATGAAGCTCTAATAATACAAGTACAGTATCCACACAATAGAATCTATCTACAAACATCACACACACACACACACACACACACACACACACACACTGGTGCAGGCCTAAAGAGAAATCAGAGACACCGAGCCCTCAGACAGGCACAGACATAAATGATTATTCTCACTTGACAGACCGACTGTACTGCTCTTTCCTTCTATTTCATTCTAGCCCCAGAGGGCTGGATCAGGAGAAAGACACTTGATAGCTGCTGTTTCAGTGGTTGAAATATTTGTGAAGTTAACGCATAATCTGAAAGCAGAAGCTAATAAATTATAGGGTGCTAATTGGAACTGGAGTGGAGTTGTCAATCATGTTATCCTAAACACAGAGAGACCCTCATAACCTAAAAAGGCAAGGCAGACTTCAGGAACAGCTCCCATTCGTTTCCAGCCTTGACTTCCAATCCAGCAGAAACATTGCATACAGAGTGGCCACTGGCAGAGTCGGCAGAGGTGATTCTGCTAATCAAAGCTCACTTTAAGAAGACAAATTTGCTTTTAGGGGGAAAGATAATTCTACTGAAGAATTAATGTTTTGAGAAGCATATTTTTTAGAGAAATATATACTGAATTGACTAGAAATGTTTTGGCAAAACATTACCTTTTATTTGGAATTTTTCACTTTAAAAAACAAGTTTGATTCAATAAGAATCAAAAGTTCTCCACGAAATAGTCTCATGTCTACTTCAAATTACAGTATTTCTATGAGATTTTCAATATACTCTTATAA